TATAATCCTTGAATATGTACATATTAATATAAAAGTCATAATAACTATCTATTCCAGCCATTCCAATACAATAAATTATCTTATTAATATTATTCATAATTTCTTGATAATATTGGTTATTATCATCTCTTCTTGCTATTGCTAATAATGTAGATTTGGATTTTAAAATATTTAATTTAAGCTCTTCTATATCTATTTGATTTATAATTTCTTCATTTATACTACTTCCTAATCTATTATAAATTTGAGTAATGCAATGATAAGCACATGTTTGTGCTCTTTCATTAAATTCATTAATTAAACAACCAATCATTTTACATAAACAACTTACATATAATCTTTGATAATTCTTATGTTTTAAAAGAGTATAGTCAATCAAAGTAAATACTAATTGTTGACAACTACTTAATCCATTTGGTTCAATACTGAAATCATCAGGAAATACAGAAACATATTGAATAACGGAAAATACAACATCTTCAATAAGATGATCTTGAAGTAACTTCTCTGAAGTAGTTAAGTAGAATTTAGAAATAGTTGTATTTACTCCATTATTTTTTGAAATGAAATTACCAATTGAAATGTAAGTTGTAAATACATTCTTGTATATCTCTTCTCCTTCATTTAATGATTGTGTTAAAAGTGAATAATTATATTTTAATATCATTTCACATGTAAGCATTCCTGGATTATATAATGCCATATCAGTTACACCAATAAGTTGTTTATATAATTCTTCTTTTAAATTTGATGATACAGAGGGAAGAATATATTTTAATATTCTAGTTAATCCACCAACAAGAATACAAATATTATCATTCCATTGTCTAATTAAAGGAGACATATAAAGTAATACTTTTGTATGTTCTTTAGGAAGTTCTGATTTTGTAAGTTTAATATAAATCTGTTTCATTTCATCAAACACTGGAAATAAGATATCTTGAAGTAATTGATCAATACATTTTGATAACATCTCTCCTTCACATGCAATAGATTGTGTAAGTGTTTGTAGTGCTGAACTCCAAATATCATATCTTTTATCTTTTAAACATAAATAAAATTGTTTTAAAATAGTTAAAGAGAGAGATAAATATTCATCAGAATCTTTTAATTGAATAATAATATCAGATAATAATTGAATTGCACTTAATGACATATTAATATCAGATGTTTGAGTAATATATTGATAAATAATATTTATTGGAATTTGTGTTGGATTAATTGACAATACAAATTGCTTAAAAATATTAAAACTATGTGACACAATTTGTTGTGATGAATTTGCAAAAATATTAAATATTGGGATTAATTCATCAATATGTTCAGAAAGAGGTAATGAAGTTTCAGATAATATTTCAAGAGAATTAAGAATAATATCAAGTTGTTTCTCTCTACATTTTTTATCTTCAATACATTCATTAATAAATATAAAAATAAGTGTTATTAATTCATGTTGTTGTTCTTTATTTTCATAATTATCTATTTGTCCTAATATACTAGAAATCATTCCTCCAATCCTTTCAGCTATTGAAATATCTTCTAACAATCCATTTTTTAAATTATTTTTACATAATGAATGAATAATATTGATTCTATCTATATTTTCTTCATAAATATCAATTAATTCATTATAATAATATAATGTATTCATTATTGGAATAAGTTCTTTAACACATTCAATAAATTCTACCTCTTTAAGATACTTTGTACATTTACAAATAGTCATCCAATGTTCTTGTTCAATCATCTTCCAAATACACTTCCATTCTTCATGTTTGAATTTAGGACTTAATTCAATTGCATTAATTACTGCTCCCCATCCATTTTTAGTTTTCCCTGCAAGTTCTAATAGTTGGCAAATAGAATAACCTCTATTAACCATAACCCTCATCATCTTTTCCACACAAACCAATGAATCAGATGAATTACCAAATCTTGTAAGTGTATTAAGTGTTAATTTAATAATTTCATTTGGTAAATCAAATGATACAGTAACCATATGAGATACTAATAAAAAGAAGCAAAAATATGATAATTCTTGAAGATTTTGTGGTGATGAAATATGTTCTATTGAAGTAGGTTGTGCTGTTGTTACTCCATATTTCAAAAATGAAATAATCAAAGGATAGAAATGATTATTTAAAACAAAAGATGATTGATTTATTGAGAAAAATTGGTAGAATAATGATAAAATACAATTTGTAGATTCAAACACATGTAATGAAATAAAATATGGATATCCAGGAAATGTAGAAAAATATACTAGAAATGTAGAATGATATTGTAATGTAGAATTAATAATAACAGGAAGTTGTGGAATCAATACTTGAAGAAGAAGAGTATATAATGGTTTAATTTGGAAAAATAAATTTGGTGCATTTGATAGGATTGGAAATAAACAATCAAATTGATGTGTTCTTAAGTTAGCATATTGTGGTGATAAACAAAGATCACTTATATATTTTGAAAGAGTTGATACTAATGGTTCAGTTGGTTCAATTAAAGGTTGTCCTAAATAATTCTTATTAAGATCAATCATACGGTTTGCTTCTTGATGACTGATTGATGTTTTAGCTAATTGTGGAGTATATGAAGGATAAAGAGCAGATGCTGTTGTCGAAATATATGATAAAACAGAGAAAAGAGATGAGAGAAGCATTGGTGTTGTAGCAGCTAATGACAAGGTAGTTAATCCATTATATAATGCAGTAATAGGAAGAGAAGCAAGTAATGGAGTAGTTAAAAGTGACGAAGTGATTTGAACAATTTTAGCATTTATAGTTTCATTTGAAATCATTTGTTGTAATTTTATAAAAAGATGATCATGAAGAGTCTAATATCATAAGTTATTTTGTTCATATTGTTCATATTGTTTTGAAAGAATAATAACAAACAAGAGGAATTAATTCTTCCATTGAAAGCATTTGAAGTAATTGTAATAGTGTTAAATCTAGTGAAGAAGAGAATGTAAGTAAAACAATTAATGGTTCAATACATTTATCAGAACGTTGAAGAATATCAACTTTTGGGTTAGTGGATGTGGTTAATATTTGAACACATTCATCAAGGTTTTCTCGTTGTTTATTCCATTTGGAGTACTTTTTGATTCCTTTAATAACAAGCTCATATTTAGTGAGAAGAGGTTTAGCTTTAATCATATTTGTTATGAAGTTTTATAGATTTTAAGTGTTTTATTCAAAATTATCAATTGAAAGAGAAAGAAGTCATTATTAAAGATACATAAAGATATAGAATATTACTACTCCATTACAATAAAATAAAGAATAAGATGTATTAAATGGATAATTGTAATAGACTATAATATTAAAAAAAACATCTTTTTAATCCTCATATTTTTCATGAGTGAAGTTAAAGAAAAAAAGAACAAAAAAAATACCTAAATACTAAAAGAAAGACAATAAAAAAAATAGAAGGAAGAAAAAGTAGAAGAAAACAAGAATTCTTAAAAATAAAGAAGAAAAAACACACTATAATTTAAAGATGGAACCAACAACACCATCAACCTCTCTTGAACCACAACACCTTTTATTAAATAAATGGACATATTGGTTTGATTCTAATAAATATGAATCACAATCACGAGATAACCTTTCTTCATTGGAAGAGTTGTACACATTTTCTACTGTAGAACAATTCTGGGGATTATATGATGGACTTGAAAAGGCAACAAGTTTTCCTAAAGGAAGTGACTGTTATTATATGAAATTTGGAGTGACACCAAATACCACTTCATACGAAAAAGGTGGAAAATTACGATTTGGAGTACCATTAGCAAAGGCAGAATGTGTTTGGAAAAATTTAGTTTGTTAAAATATACTTAAAAAAAGTTTATAAGTTTTAGGAGAATTGAAGTTAATACTATTGTAAAGAGAAGAATACAATAAAGAGAGTTTTTTTAGAATAGGGTTTGGTAATGAAGAAATTCATAAAACCAAATCTTAATTACAATTTTCCTAAGACTGAGATAATACTAAAGTAGGAATAAAAGTTAATATTTTATTCAAGAAGATTAAATATAATACTTACATACTTTAGATTCTTATGTGTATTGGAGAAAATTTTGAAAATTCAGAGTTCTTAGTAGGTGTAGAATTGTCTATTAGGTCAGACGCTAAATTTAATATTTATTTTAATTATTGGGATGACACCTTCCGATCATTGGTATCTGAAATTAAAGAATATGTTGAAATTTCACCTAAAACATCATTTAAGTTCTTCCCAGAAGTTGGACGTATTATTGAAATAAATTGAGTGTTGGTTCTTTTCATATCTATTAGAGATTATTTTCATGACAAAGAAAGTAAATAAGAAAGAAAGTAATTCAATTCATTTCAATAGCAATGATTCTTGATACAATAAATGTTTTACTTCCACATAAAGGATATTTTAATTTTCCATATTCAAAAGACGTTTCATTAACTCCTGATAAAAAGTTATTTGAGTGATTTTGTTTTGTAACAACAATATCATATCCAAATCCTATTTGAAAGAGATAATCAAAGTCTTTTGAAAATAATAAGATTGCATATTGGCTTTTATCTTTTTTAATAGGAAAAGGTTTTGGTGTCATAATTCTACCATTTGATTCTAATGAAAAAATAAATGCTTCTTCATCTTTAATCCACTCACACTCTTTATTAATTTTCGTTTTAATATATCCTCCAAAGATATTTCCTTCCATATCATGAATAAGAATAAAGATATTATTTCGTCCAATAACTTTTTCATTAAAAATTGATTCATTTTTTCTCCAATTTTCTAGTCTTGAATCAAATAATATTTGTGCATTATTCAAATTACTTAATTGTCTAAGTTGTTTAATAATATCAGGAAATTGAGAAAGATAAGTATTTTCTTGTTGCATGAACTTTTCACTAAAATATCTTTTTTTTCCTAAAACACAATTATTTTTATTTTTAAGTTCTTTGTTTTTGAATTAATTTAGAGACAAAAATACCTCAAAGAACTTCAAAAGGAAAATGTCTGATTTGTCATTCTGTCAAACTCATAAAATTCTTGTATATCAAGATATTGCTTGGACAATAGAATTATCTGAAAGAAGGTCAATACTTGTTCGTTCAGGTTTGTTAATAAAATGATCAAGTTAAAGAAAGGAAAAAGAAGTCAATAACCATTAGAAATTATAGATGAAAATAAAATTACACAATGTCCTACAATTACAATTGAAAAATATAATAAATGTTATGTTTTAGGATATGGACAATGTAGAAGAGATCCTCCTATTGCATCTTCAATACTAAAGAGAACAATATTATCTGATGTTTTTTGGTTAAAATCAACAAGTTATCCTGGTAGAATATGGGTTCATAAAAGATTTTTAATGAATGAAGCGGAAAATATGATTCAAAAATTACTTAGTACTACCAATGTTTACATTGTTTATCCAGGAATGGAAAGTACTATTACTAAACCATTATTTAAAAGAAATAATCAAATATTTAAATCAGTTGAACAATTAAATACACAAAACCAAACAAATTCACCATTTAAACCAATTGTTAATCAAGTAAAAATTACAGAAAATAATCTTATTATTGAACCTATTTGTTCTCTTAAAGAAGTTTCAAATTCAATTAAAACAATGTTACCTTCACTTCCAAATCCATTCTTTACTAAGTTAAAAGAAATAAAAGAAGAGAAAAAAGATGAAATTCCACATTCATTTAATTCAACACAAATAACAATGAATATTAATTGTAAAAAACAAGAAAAAATACAAATTCTTTCAGTAAAAATAATTAAATCAATATTTACTATAGGTTCAGAATTTCTTGGACCAACATTAATTTGTGTTAAAGTAATAGCAGAAGGATTATTTGGTACATTAAATAATTTTCCATTAAAAATACAAAGTCCAGAAGAAATGAAAGGATATACTAATGACTTTCTTAAAATTATTACAAATTCATTTATTAAACCTGAATCATATTTAATAAGTGGAATTTTTGTATTTGGAATTGAATATGCACAACTTAAAAAAATTTGGGATTTAAGAATGAAAAATAAAGAAGCTGTAAATCAATTAATAACTGATATGAAAAAATATTTTCAAATAATATCATTTTGTTTTACAGATTCATTTAGAGAATATATTGAAAATGTGTTTAAAAATTCTTTAATTCCATCAGAATTTGATATTTTCCATTTCTTTAAATCAGATATTGAATTATTTAAATGGAATATTGAACAAACAGAATATTTATCTAAAAGATTTACTTATAAATAAGAAATAGAAGAATCTGCTTTTGTATCTAAAAATTAAAATTTCTTTAAAATTTAATTTATTTGAAATAAATAACAAAAAAAAGAATTAAATTATGTTTTTAATCATCAAATCTTCTTGATAATATTTTATTTACTCTTCTTTTTGAACCTTGACCACCAGATGATTTAGAAGAAACAGATTTATCAATTGAAGAATTAAATATTTCACTTGTAACTGACTCTTTTACACTAAGACTTCCATCACTAACACTTTCTTTACTTATTCCAAATATTTTCATTGCAACTGAATCTAACATTTCAGGTGTTTCTATAAATTTATATTCTGTTATTGGTTCTTGTTCTACAGCTGATTTTACCATAACATCAAGTAAATCAAAAACATAAGGACTTTCTTTAATAATATCTCTTTTATTTGAAATAATTCTTACAAATTCACTTTTTGTTTCAGCTCTTGTTGAGAAATATACAACAAATCTCATTAAAATATCTCTAAATACAGATGATGTTTCTGGAATAATACATTCATTAAAGAAAAGTTCTACAATAGTTACAAAATTAGCAGAAACAAGTGGTGTAATACAATTTAATACATTTCTCATTAAAACAGATATGGAAATATGTTTAACATCTTTTTCTGCTAATTCTTTACAATAATTTAAATAATCTTTAAGTTTAACTTCTTTTAATTTCTCTGCATTTTCAACTAAAATATTTCTTTTTTCTGCAAGTATTTCCCAATCATCTCCAACTCTTAATACAAGATTTGTTGTTCTATCACAATACCAACATGTAAATGCAATAATACAAATTGGTACTACAAGTTCTGGTTTTTTTGGAAATGCAAAAAAGAAAAGTTCTGGTCTTGATAAAACTCGTGCAAAAATTTCTGCTGAAATATCTTTTGAATCATTATCAGTTAATCCTCTTAATGCCATAATTAATATTCCTTTAAACATACTTGGATTATTAGATGTAACTTCTTTAAGTGAATTTAACATTGTTTCTGGTTTTATTTCTTCATATATTTCTGGACTTAATGCATATCTTAACATTCTAATGGCTTGTCGATAAATAGTAATTGGAACTTCATATGATACAAGGAAACAACTAACAACCCACATAATTTTAGACATTAATTGTGCATCAGGAACATTATGTAAGAACATATCTGAAATATTCATAATTTCAATAATATATTGAAAGATAACATTTTTATATTCTACAGTTAGTTGTGTTTCATCTGTATTGACTAATGCATTTTTTAATTTTAGTAATGTAAATACAAATTGATCAACTGGCATATCATTATCTCCAATTTTAAATACTTTATTAAAGAATTTACATGCATTTACAGATGCTTGAACATTCATAGATGTTGGGTCTCCAGAACATGACCATTCAACTAATTCTTTTTTAATTAATTGAAGTAATTTAAGTTTATTAAGATGTAATGATAATTGACAGAAATTATCCATAATTTCAAGTAATGTTTCTCTATTTAATATATTATCAATTTCTAGTGCTGAAACTAATGTAAAGAATTTTGTACCACATTTAGCAACTTCTGGATTTTTATCTGATGAATATGAATCAAAGAAATTATAACATAATTTCTTAATAAAATTATAGAAGACTTCTACTTCTTTTTTATCTTGAACAGCATAACAAATAAGAACAGAAAAGACAATCATATAATGAACACCAGAATCTTCAACAAAAATACCATCTCCAATAAAATCATTTAATACATTCATAACAATATATTGTCCTTTATATTTTTCACTATATGTTCCTCTTGATATCATCATTGTTCTTGAAAATTCATATGATAATGCTTGAGCTGTTCTTAAAAATGTTGTTTTAAGATCAATTTTCATTAGTGCTTGGAATACAATTAAGAATGAATCTCTATTTTTTGCTTTAGGTAATTCACTTTTTAAGAAATTAAAGATGATATTATAATTTGAATTTTCATCTCCAAGAATATCATCTTTATCATTTCTTTTTTCACAGACTCTTGACCAAAAGATAATTGCTTGATCTGAATTATGTGTCATTGCTGAAGTAACATCATATACAAGAATATCTAAAATTTTATTACATTCTTTAGGTGTATAATCTTGTGCTAAATTAACATATGGTAACCAATAAATACTATATGTTACAAGCCATTTTTTTTGAAGATCAGATAATTTATTTCCTCCTCCTGCAAGTGTACCTTTATAAAATACAATTTTGGCATGTTCTTTACAATATTTAACACACATTTCACAAATAGCAGTAGCTGCTTTTAATCTATTTTGTTCAACTGTAGTAGAAATATCAACTCTATACTTAATGACATTTTCATATAAATTTTGATCAAAAACATCAGAAAGTCCAAATTTAATTGGTAATAACCAACAGATTACATTAAATGCATGAACTCTTATATCTTCATCATCTGCCATTAATGTAATTAATGAATGATGTAATAATGATGCTCCAAATCTTTTTAAATTATCAATAAATAATGGGTCTGGTTCTATATCAATATGTGCATTAACTTTTTTTAAGAATTCAATATGTTTATTATCAATTGCTTTAACTCCACTTTCATAAAATTCTGGTTGACATATTTTAGAATAAACATTTGCAATAGCTTTAATAATAACTTTACTTTCTGTCATATTTTCAATGTCTGGATTTTTTCTTGAAAATACTAAGTCTGGATGGAATCTAATAATCCATTTTAAAATTCCTGAATGCATCTTTTCTAATTCTACTATTCGTTTTGGTTTTATAAAGAATTTTTCTCCAAGTGATAATGGTGCTAATGAAAAAATACCACAAACTGCTTCTAGTGTAGAACAACATAATACATCAGTAATTGGATTCATTTTCATTTGTGGATTAATAAATGTATTAATTAAATATTGACAAATATCAGTTCTTTGTTCTAAAGGCCATACTAAGAAATGAAGTTGAAGTGAAATTGGAAGTACTGAATTTGTAGGTTCTTCTAAATGAAGTGTTGGATTCTTTTTAATATTTTTACAAAAATAATACAATAATGTTGCAAAATTTTGTGCAAAGTATGCAGGGAAATTTGATGCACAATTAAATAAATCACTTGTTGTATTTATTATATTAAATGATGGCCAAAGTAATTTAAGTTGAAGAAAGACTTCATTAATAATAGAAAGAATACCTAACATTAATCCATATCCTAATTCACTTGAAAAAATAGCTTTACAATCTTTCATTAAACAATTACTTAAAATAATCATTGTAGTTAACATTAATTGTCTTCTTCTTTCAATACTAACTTTTTCTGATATTACTAATGGTAATGCATATGACTTAACTTGTTCTACAAAGAAATAAAATATATCTGGATGCATACATGATAATAAATATATTAAATTGCTTTCATTAGGATCTTGATATTCTGTTTTTTCCATTAATTCTTTAATGATACTTTTAAGGATTGGTGTAGCTTCTTCTCCAAGTTTTGTAAATTCTGGATTTTTCAATGAATATGTTTCACTTAATATTTCATTACTCATACTATTTGTTCCTTTAAGACAAAGTGTAGATAAATAAATATTTAATAACCTATATCTTATTTCATTTTTTAATTCTTTTCCTGACAATTGTTTTTTAACTATTTTAGCAATTCTTTGAACAATTGAATGTGTTCCTTCATTTTCTTCAAGTAATTTTAAAATTATTGATGTTTGTATATAATCCATTGAAAGTAAATGTTGATTAGTTACTTGTAATTGTTCTTGTTCTATATTAGGTAACATTTTATTAATATTTAATAATGAATCTGGTATCTTACTAGACATTAATATGAATAAATATCTTGAATATTGTCCAATATATTCTTTATTTTCATGTGTTACATTCCATACTGTATTATCAAAATCTTTTAATGAGGTAAAATAAAGATATGTTAATAACTGTGGGGTTTCTATTCTAATTGATTGATCAAATCTTTGTTGTAATACAGTAATAATTGCTTCAATATATTCTGATAAATGTTCAGTAAATACAACAATAGCTTCTCCTTTTTCTTTTTTCCCTTTTTTCTTCTTTCTTTGATTTTCTTTTTCATCAAATCGTTTTGTAGCTTCATTAATTCTTTTAACAGTCCATAAACACATAACTGCATCAACAAATTCCATCATATTTTGATATGGTATATCAGTTTCCATAATATCAACAATTACTTTCATTAAATCCCATACAATTAATGTTCTATATGTTGGGTCTTGAAATACCATAATAAAAATTGCTTCCATTACAGCTTCTGCTAAATAATCACTTTTACTTGTTAAAAATGAAAAGAATGTTAATGCACCTTGTTTTTGTGTATAAATAATATACATTTTAGGAAGATTTGAAATATATCGAATTAATTGGACAAAAAGAATCATTTCATCACTTATTTTTTCTTTTATCTTTTCTTCTTTAACAACTTTCTTTCTTTTTTCTACTTGTTTTTCTTTTGTTATTATTTCTTTTGGATTCTTTAAATCTTCTGGAATTTCTGATAAAAATTCCTTTTTAACTGTACTAATTCCTGTTGTAATTCCTTCTATTTTAACTTCATTTCCCCATGTCTCTAATATTTTAACTACTTCTAATTCAGTATCTCGTATTTTCTTTACATCTAATGCTGCCATTTTTCCTTTTTGAATTTCTCTCCATCGTTTAACTGCTTCAAACATTGTAGCTTTAATATATGTATCATTAGCACAATTAGATGCCATAAATTCTTTAATATGATGTGGAATTGATAATGGTCTTGTAATACTTGTATATGAATCATTTTCTTTTACTTTATCATAAACGTTTTGGTAAAGTTCTATAAATTTTCTTTTACCAAGTGCAAGTACTTTTTTCTTTGCATGTATTTCTTTTTCTTCTTCAACATTAATCCATAAAAATCTATCATTAACAATTAAATGTAATGCATTATACATAACACTAAGACTTAAATAATCTTCTTTATCTTCAAAAAATGAATCAAGAATACGATATGTAATTGGAAGACTATGTGCTGCACAAAATACTACTTTTCTAGCTCTTCTTTCAATTTCTTCTTTTTCTACCTTAGCAGGACAATTTACAACAACTCCCATAATTGCTTGTATATATTTTTCTGCTTCTTTTCTTAATGGTAAAACTCTAAAAGGTGAAATTCTTTTTTTTGCTTCATCTGGAAGATTATAATATGAATCTGGTATATATAATTCTGTGTTTTCATGTACTCCTTTACATAACGTTTCAATATAATTTAAAATAGGTTCTGTTTTTGCATTAATTTCATTAAGTCCACTAATATATTTTGTTACTGATTGAATTTCTGATAAATTTGTTTTCATATGAATAATTGCTTCTATCTTTGATCCATGACATTCCATTTCAAATGATTTATTAAAAAATGGTGATACAATGCTATGAACTGTATTTAACTCTTTTCCAAATGATCCTTCTGGTAATGAAAACATTAAATTTTCTAATACCTCCATTATTTCTGCTTTTAATTCTACTTTCTTTGCTGATTTTACTGAAAGTGCAATTGTTTTAAGAACTCCTTCAACTATTTTAACATCTGATGTTTCATTTTTTGAAAATTGAATAAACCTTAATAAACGAACACGAGTGGCAAAATTTTCTGTATTAGGATCTTTCCAATACCCAAAGAAATAACTCCATATTGTTCTAAATTGTTTTTCTAATGAAAGAAGTTTAACTAATGAACTCCATTGATTAATCATTGTTTTATATGCAACATCAAATACTGTTTCATTTTTTATTGCTTTAATATTATCTCCAATAATTTTTAATCTTCCTACCATTTTATCTGCTAATTTCTCCGTTAATTGATCCATCCATCCACAATACAAATAAAATGATATCATAACATCTGAAATGAAAATATTTGCTACAATTGTTTCATACGTTAATTCTTCTTGATTACTTGATGATATTTTTACGACTTCTCCTAACATATTTGTAGATTTCGATCGAATAAATACAATCACACGTCTTAACGCACTCGCATAATTCTCATCTTCATGAAGTGAAAATGTATCAGATTCTTTTGGATTATTTTGAATAGCAACTCCTCGTTGTGCTGCATTTAATACTAACTGATGTAATTCTGTCAGTTCTACTGAAAAAATTTCTGTTTGTTTCAAATCAATAACATCCATCTCTGTTATTCAAAGTTTTTTTTGTTCTTTTCTTTTGTATTTCTTTCTAAGTAATTATAACTCTTTTTACTATTTCTTTATTCTTTCCTTGTTCTATTTTTACCTAACTTGAAATACAATAACATTATTTTCTTTTGTTTTTTTTCTTTTTTTTTGTTTTAAACCATCATCTAACTCAGTCACTTCTATTGAAATGATAAATAAAACTTAATGACAAACACAATTAAATAATCAAAATTTACTTCTTTTTATTTCTTTCTCGACTCTCACTCCTTTCTGTTCTTCGATACTTAGTTCGATATCTCCCTCTTTCTTTTTCTCTTCTTTCTCTTGCCTCACGTTCTTCTGCTGCTTTCTTTAGACATTCTGGAATACCATCTTTACTTTTCTCTCCCATTTGACACAAACTCCATAACTCTTCAACAAACTCATTTGTTTTATCTCCAAGAAATGCCTCCAAATCAATTTCTAAATCACGAGGATCTGTTTCATTTCCCTATATGTGAGTCGTTTTTTTTTCATTTGTTTTAAACAAGAAATACCAAACATTTTCTTCAATAAATCCTACTATTGTGTTAACAAGAATGTCGTCATCTACTTCTAATATATCAATTATTTTCGATGTAATCCATGCTCTCATTACTTCAATATTGACTTTCTTAAAATCTACTTTCTGATAGAAGTTTTCTGGAAATGTCATTGATTTCTTCAATTTTTCATGTTTGTCAGAAAAGTGTGGGTCTTGTTCAATTGATGTGCCTTTAAACATTTAGTTTTTTCTTTTTTTTTTCAGTTCCCTTTTGTTTTATCCTTCGCTCCATTTCTCTCTTCTATGTATTGTCTCCCACACCTCTTTTGTTTTTGTATTTCATAGTATTTAACAAGCGTCGTTCATTACAAAACAAACACTGGATATAATTTTCGTCAATCTCAAAAAATCACAAGAGATTGTAAAAAAATCTTCATTCTTATTTAAAAATAAAAGAGTTTTGAGCTAAAATTAAACATAAAATGATGACGTAATAAAACATTTTCAAATGAAAAAATAAAATTCTATTAGTTAAACATATAAATAGAATTAGAATCAATAATAATAGTAGTTACAACAATATATTGTTTATTAATTTTATTTGCTTAACAAGATAAGACATTCATTAAAAGAGTTTAAAAAAAAGCATATGCCATTAGTAATATATGAAAATAATTAAAAAAAATTTGAAAAAGAATATAAATAGAGAAGTTACTACAAATATTTCTTTTCATTGTTTGTTATCAAATTACATATATATTATTATAATTAAAATGAAATAATGATAATTATTTTTAATAAGAATAATGGAATAGAGAACCAAAGAAATTTCAATTAATTACTTTAGAAGGTACTTTTCATAAAAACCTAAATTAGAAGACTTATTTTAAAGACATTAAAATTTAATAAAGACAGAAAATTAAATATAAAAATATTATTTTTTAAAATCCGACTGTTATAAATGGCAAAATAAAATTACAAAATAAGAGAAAGAAGAAAACAAGAGAAAAAGAAAGAATATGTGTTTACCATAAAGTATCAAAAAGAAAAAAATAAAAAAAGCAAAAATAATAAATTAAAAAGTGAAACTAAAAAATAAATTGTAAGAACTTATAAATATCAAATATGGCTGCACAAACAGACGCAACAAGTGTTAAATTAGTTGTTGTAGGAGATGGAGCTGTTGGAAAAACATGTTTATTAATTTGTTATACAACTAATGAATTTCCAAAAGATTATGTACCAACAGTATTTGATAATTACATGGCACCAATGACAGTTGATGGAAAACCAGTTAATTTAGGACTCTGGGATACAGCAGGACAAGAGGACTATGAACAATTAAGACCATTATCATATCCAAATACTGATCTTTTCTTATTATGTTTTTCAGTTATATCAAGAACATCATTTAATAATATTTCATCTAAATGGTTACCAGAAATTAAACATTATGAACCAAAATGTAAAATGATGGTAGTTGGAACAAAAACTGATTGTCGTAATGATGAAGCTATGATCAGAAAATTAGCTGATGAAAACCAAAAACCAATTACAACTGAAGAAGGTGAAAAACTTGCAAAAGATATTAAAGCTGTTTGTTATATGGAATGTTCAGCTTTAACTCGTTCTGGACTCAATCAAGTATTTGATGAAGCAATTCATATTGTTTTAAACAAAAATCAACCACAAAAATCATCACATAAGATGTGCACTTTGCTTTAACCCTTTTTTTAATTGGAGTTTTGTTTTTCCTCAGATATTTGTTTTTTTTTTTAATAAAAAATTTTAATTATTTTTTTTTTAGTTCAAAAAAACTAAAAAAAATAAATTTAATAATTTAGAATGACAAGTTCCTATTGTTCTTTATTACTTTCATTTTATGAACAGTTAAGAAAAGAAAAACGAATAGATGAAATTTTTGAAGAACTAAGAAATGATCCAATTACAAGATTAGATCAAACAAGTTTTATAAAACCATTTAAAGAGACATATTTTGGAAGTGCAAATGAAATTGTTAATTTAACAAATCGAGAGGTTTTTACAATTGATATAGAACAAACGAATATTATAGATGATGGGGTTCATATAGATATAGATAAAAAAAGTGGAATAACTGAATTAGGATTTCATTCACCTTATCTTACAAAAGAAGATATTCCTAAATTTGAAGAAATAATTACAAATTTATTAAAAAATGTTATTAATAATACAAAATATTCTTATGATATGAGTAAATCAAAAAAATTAAATAATAAAAGTTTGGAAATGGGTAAAAAAGAAAAATGTTTTAGTGTATTACTTTATATTGATTCAAATGGAAATATTATTAAAAGATGGTATGGAATAACTTTAATATCAGTTCGTGGTAATTTATTTTATCCAAGAAGTTTAAAATTATCTGATTATGATAGTTTATGTAATTTACCATTTAACCTTAATTTATTTAAACATATTGAATCATTTACTTCTGAAATAATGACATCTAAATTAGAATCACTTAAAAAGTGTATTGAATTAATTAATAAAAATATCTTAAATCCTCCTCCAATAGATAAAATTCATAACTTTGTTAAATGCATAGGTTATATATTATCTAATACAGTAGGAGTTGATTTGTTTCAGATTTATAATGACCTTGCAATTGTTAATATTGATGTTTCTCGTAGTATTTGTTATTCTACTATTCGTTCTCCTTTAAGAAAATTTAGAGATGTATTAGTTCAGTCTCAATTTATTGCTATTATGAATGATTATAATGAACAACAAATGATTGAGTTTGTAACTGGGAAAAAAGAAATATCTAAAAATGAATTTCAAAAATTAATTCTTCATATTTGTTCAATTTAATTCATTTTTATAATTTTAATTTTGATTATCATTAAAATAAATACGATAAAAATAGTGTAAATAAAGATTGATAATACTCTTGTTTATTTCCATGAATATATTTGTATTGCATTATGTTCAATTATTGTTTTATTCTTTAGATTCATAAAGAATTCCAATTCAAATGGTATATTAAATTCCTTCTTAAAATCTTTAGAAATATTAAGATATGTTTTTGATATTGTTAATACATTATTTACACAAAATAATCCATAACATGCTTTTGAAGGAATAACAAAAATATTCTTTGGGTTCTTTTTTTCATATGATAATGGACTCATTGATTGTGGATTTTGTAGTGAAATAAACCATCCTTTGGTATAACTTCCTTCTTGATATAATGCACAAAATCCAAAAATACTCTTATCAACTGTTTCAATAAAAATACTTACTTTAGGATATTGAAGATATAATGGATTTATCCTTAATACTTCTTCTCCCTTTTTCCAACTAAATACTCTTTTAAATTCATTGGTATTCATTAATTTATCTATTTCATGTAAATTCCTCTCGTTGCATAAACAAAGTAATATTGAATCATTTGGATCAATTTTATAATTAACATTAATTTTATTATTTTCTTTAAATATTTTCATTGACAAATCATTGTTATATAAAGTTGATACTTTTTCAATTTTTTCTTCTGTGATTTTAGTTTGTTTATCTTTATTTAATTCTTCTTTCATTTTTTTAATTCTTGCATCAATGTCAAATTCCATTTGTTTCATACGTTCTTGTAAGTCTTCTTCTTTGAAAGGTTTGACATCTGTATTGGTATCTACTTTTTCTACTTCTTTATATAATTCATTAAATGGTTTAAATGATCTTCTATTTATAACATCTTGTTCTTCTGTATCACATAATTTAAATACTACAAATTGTCTAAATTCTTTTTTATTACCACCATCAACTCCTGATATGTTTGAGAATGGTTTTATGTCTTTAAATTTAGTTGGTAGTTGGTCTTGTTTTCTAGAACAAACATATTTATAAGTTTTGAGATTAAATACTCCATAAAATTGAAGGAATTCATCATACCCATTATTCTCAAATGTTATAATAGGTAAATGTGTAGGTATTGAAGTATATTTTGTTATGAGAAGTTGTTCATTAATCACAAAGAAGAATTGAGAAGAGTTATTAAGTACTTGAATTGTTTTATTTTGCTTTCTTTGAGGGATGGTTTCATTTAGGTACCACCCAAATATTTGTCCTGTTTCCATTTGTATTATCATAATTAATTGTTTTTTTCCAATGATACAATCCCAAAACTCATCAGGTTCTATTTTATTTTTTGTATTTGAATCAAAAAGAATTTTAATTCCTTTGTTTTGAACAAAAGAATTTAACTGGTTTCCAATTTCTTTACTTTGTATTAATTTTAAAAGATTAATCTTATTCATCTGATAACATTCATTCATAGTTTTTAAATTCTTTGGTATATCATGTTTTTCTTTTTTAACTTCTTTTGGAAAAGAAAGTAACTTATTTACTACAACCTTTTTTATGTCTTTTGTTTTACCACTTAATGTGCATACAAAAACTCTCTTAACACCTATATATCGTTGATTTTCTTCTCTAACTATTTCTGTAATAGAAGGACAGTTTTTAAATTTATTTTCTAAACAATGGTTCTTTGCAATCCATAGATTATGGTCATTTCTCAATTGAAACACACCGTGAAATGTAAATATTGTTCCATAAGTATTATAATTTGGTTTATTATAGCTCATAATAAAATTATCATAATCTACTGTATTATAATACTTAATAGTGTCATTTTTACTAACATAGAAAAAGAAATCTTTCTTTGTTTTAATAACCTCAAGAGTGTCTTTGGATTCCATTAGTGGAATGGTACCACATAAGAACCATCCAAAAATTGTTTGGTCCTTCAGTTCAACTATCATTAGTGTCTTTTTATTTCCACAAACACTTTCCCAAAATATCTTGTCGGTTAACTCTGGTAATGTATTACTGTCAAATAAAATATAGCATTGAGAACTTTTTAAATGAGAACATACAGCTCCAAGAATTTCTTTGGAGAGAATTCTATCTGTTACCAACACTTGTTGATCATTCTCTCTATCTTTTTGTAAGTTTGTTGTTTGTTGTTTCTTTTTATTAAACGGTTGCAAATTACTTAAGTCGAGTACAGACTCACGACCTAAGAAAATATTTTGGTATAAATTGATAATCATAACCTCTTTAACAATAAGTCCTACAGATGGGTTATAACCAATAACATGAGAAAAAGAATTAAAATCTAAATAATTCTTATCGTAATCACTTTTACATATTGCATCACATGTCCCATCTATATTCCAAAGGAAGAAATCATGTAGATTTAACACATAAGTATCTCCTTTACCACCAAAAGAACATACTTTCTTTTGATTGTCGATACAATTATATTTTTTAACTGTAAGACTAGTTGGGTTTACACAGAATAAACAGTGACCAAAATCTTGAATAACAGTTATGTTTGAATTTACATCAAACTCTGAGAGAGACTTTTGGAAGAATATTCCAAGAATATTTCCATAATTAAATTTCAAAAAGATAAGAATATAAGAATATCCTTTAATACATTTCTGTATTTCAGAACTATCTATTTCATTCATTTGCTTATTTAACAATACTTTTGCATACTTTGTTTTGAATATATCAATTCCAATAGTTCCTAAAACTTCTTTATTTTTAATAACATCACCTAATGAAAAATCTGTTTCTGTGGTAATTTCATTTATTGGTAACTGTGTCTGCTCAATTACACTGTCATTTTCTTTAACTATTTCTTCCTGAACAATGTTTTCTAAATTCTTTGATTCTTCAATACTATTTTCTTGTACTTTTATTTCATCAACTTTCTTTTGTTCTTGGTCATTATTTATTAATGGATTAGTATCATAACATTTTATAAACATTTTATCATCTTCATTTGGTGAGTTAATAAATTTTAAAATCATCACTTCATCTACTTTTATTTTTTTCCCAGAGGGACATCCTGTAATATTACTCAAATCAACAAGTTGTTTATACGATGTTTTGGTTTTACTATTAGCATATTCTACCCAGAGTCCAGATTTTGACAAATAACCAATATCATTTAATTCCACAATAAAATTATTATTGCTACTACCAAATAAACAAATAGTCCTGAACATCCCTTTCATTTTATATATTTCCAATTCATTATTATTTTTCCTATTTATATTAATAATTGCATGGTTAAAATCATTCTCAACTTCAATTTGTGTTGATTCTTTATAACATGGAATTTTCTTTTGGAAATATAATCCCATAATATTTCCATTATCAAAATACATAAAAAATATTAAGTTTGTTTGTTCTGATATTATTTTTGGTATTTCATCTTCTACAATATCTTTTGTTCTTTTATGTATCAATACTTTTGCATATTGAGAGTCAGCTAAATTGGTAGATATTTTTAATAATATGTCTTTAGTTTCAATCAATTTTGCTAATGCTAAATCAGAATAACACTGCTCTAGCTCTTGCTTTGTTTGTTCTCTAAGACAATTATCATTAACAGATTTAAATTCTTGACTCATTTCTTCATTTTTTTCAATTTTCAAACTAGTATTACAACATACTTGTGTTTGTTGCTTTAATAAAAATATTCTTTTTTGCATTGATTCTTTATTAAATGGAGGTCCCATCTGATTGAATTTATCTTTTATTAGATGTTTTTCATCTAATAACCCAATAACTAAGTCATTATAAGTTTCATTATCACTAGTATTAATGTTATCATCACAACTTATTTTCTCAATAATTTCATCAGAGTCTTTGTTAGAAACCAAAGTATTTGAAAAAGACACTAAGCAAATACTAGTAAGTTTTGATTCTTTTGAAAGAAGATTGAAATGAGTATTTAAAGTAATTGGATTTTGTTCTTGAATCCAATTAAGTTTATTTGTATCTACCTTACCCAAGCCATCAATTTTTAACAAGAATTTTTGATCTTTTAATCCAAATGTTACTTTATTAAATATTGTACCTACATCTATTGATTCTAAAAGAAATTTAGAATGTAATGTATTAAAAGTATAAATTTTTTGTGATGAACTCAATGAAAATACTATACCCATTGTAGGAATTATATCTGGTTGTTTTGTGAGAGTTAAGAAAAAGACTTTTTCATAGTCTATTTCAATAAATATACTAACTGGTACCGAAACAGCTACTAGAGCACAAATAATATTCAAATTCTGTTTGATTGAATAAGTAGATGAAGATTGAAAAAGTAATTTTGCATATTGTTTTTTTGTTTGTAAACATAGTGGATATAATATTTTATTATTACAAATAAAGTTAAACATATTTGTAGGTTGAGTAAATGCCTTAAAGATAATAGGAATTAAAGGCTCTTTATATTTAATAAGTTGAAACACTTTTAGAATTTTATCTTTCTTTCTTCCTTCTTTAAACTTTATACCTTTTGAAACATTCATTATTGAATCAACTAAACTTGGTTGAGGAGGTTTAACATCAAAACAATCAAGTAATTGTTTTTTTATTTCATTGTTGATTAATAGAGATAAGTCATTTTTAAAAGATAATGAATTTTCTTTTATCTTAAATGTTTGTTCATGTAATTGTGTTGTAAGTATATTTAACTGATTTTTATGTTTGTCAAAACAATCACATAATTCTGTAATTATCTTAAATAAAGCTAAAAATGATAATCTAAATCTTTGAACAATTGGATCATTATTTTTTGATGAATGTTCAATGTCCATAATTAAACCAGTACAAAACTTAATATACTCATTAATACTTTCATGTGTACTTACAGAAGACATATTAACCTTGTATAGAAAAAAAGAAGTTTAAATTTATTTAAGTCAAGAATGATGCAAAAACGATAAAATTTTTAAAAAAGTGAAAAAATAAAAGAACTTAAAATTAAAAAGAGAAAAACTTAAAAAATGAAAGAGAAAGAATGTCTCGAGTTAGACAGACATTATATCCACATTTAACATGGGAAATTCCTTCTCTTACAGTCAGTAGTGATGAAATAAAACAATGTATTTTACAAGTTAATGGAAGTGCACCAGCAACTTTATTATGCTCAAAAAATGGATATCAAAGTGAGTTTTCAATGATTATTGATTCAATGATAGAACTAAACGAGATATTACAACAATGGACTCAAAAGAAAAAACAACAATTTGAAAGTGAAATAGGTGAAATGCAAAATGAACATTTAATAGAATGTGGGACATATGAAATTACTATTAAACAAAGTCTTTCTATATGTCGTGTTACTGTAGTTCCAGGAGAATTTAATTCAATAAAAAGTAAATTAATAGAACCGATAGAAAGTAAAAAGAATGTAGTTGGAGATAAAATGTTTATTAAATATAGACCAGTTGATTTTAATGAGAATATGTTAGATTTTGAAAGTTTGCAATGTTCAATAACACATAATCATTCTAAAAAAACATTTAATATTAAATTATATAATTTAGGAGATTGTTATGGATCACCTATTCCAATATTTACTCAACAAGGTGGTTATACATTATCTATTTCATCTTCTGTACAACTTCTTTATAGCTCTACATTTTTTCTTAAAGCAGGTAAACTTGATATTACTAAATGTTTATTGTTTCAAGACAAAACAATTATTACCAATTCAAAAGAAATAATTCATATTCAAAAGAAAATAGATTCAACTTTAACTCTTGTTGTTGGGAGACCATTAGAATTAAATATTTTATTATCAGATTCATTCGGAAATGTAATTAAAGAATTTGACTCAGCAATTCCAATTAGTGTACGTCATTCTCAACAATTAACTGTAACAATGAATGAAAGTATTCTTAAATTAAATGCACTTTCATCAGGGACTTTTAGTTTGAATGTATTACTCTTACAAAAACAAAATGGAGAATTAGAAAAAATTCCACTTTCTGGATTTCCAGTAACTGTTATTGCTTTAGAACCATTAGAATTAGATTTGTCACAAATTTCATTATGTAAAAAACTTCCAGAATCTATGACAATCGGAGATTTATTAACTGTATCATTTGTAACATATAATAGTGAATTAGATGAAGTTGGTATTAACCAAATTCAATTAATTGATGTTCAAGCATCAATTAATTCTATTCCAATACAAAGTTGTGTAATTTCAAGAGAATGTGGATTTGATGTAAATATATGGGTATGTCTTCCAGGAACATTGACTGTATCTATTTCAATTGATGGACATATGATTAAAGGATTTCCAACTACAATTAATATTGAACATCCTTCTTTTGTTAAATTTTCTTAAAAAAAAAATATTAATAATTGATTGTTTAAACCCTATTTTATAGTTCTATTTGAAAATATATCTTTTTCATTTCTTATGAACAACGAACAAATAGAAGAATATGAATCATTAAAAGAAGTTTTTAAATATAATGACTTAATTAATTTTAATAAAATAGACCAAAATCATTATCGAGTTCATATTTGTTTTTCTTCTTCTTGTTCTTTAATTCTATTTTATTATTTACCAAATAATTATCCTTTTGAAGAAATTCCTCGTTTTGAAGCAAAAACAAAAAAAAATTGGTTAAGTGATGGTCAGTTAAATGTTTGTGTTGATGAAGCTGAGAGAATAGCAAATGAATATAAAGGAGGACAATGTATTTATGCAATTGTTGATTATTTACAAAGTGAAGAATTTCTTCAAAAAATTAATGCTAAAATTTATAAAGATGATGAAGCAGAAAAAGAGATTCAAGCAAAACAAGAAATTATTTCTAAAGAAGAAAATGAAGAAAGTGTTATGCATGGACTTTCAGTAAAAGGAATTCCTATTTTTGTTTCTAATCCAATTAATGATCGTAAAAGTAAGTTTATTGCATTTGCTGCACCAGTAACTAATGAAAAAGAAGTTAGAATTGTATTTGAAGAGTTATTAAGAAATAAAAAGATATCTATAGCAACTCATAATATTCAAGCTTATAGACTAGAAATAAACGGTTCTATTATTTGTGATTTTGATGATGATGGTGAACATGCTGCTGGTAAACAATTATTAAAAAGTCTTGAACAAATATCTGCAACTAATGTTTGTGTTATGGTTTCACGTTGGTTTGGAGGAATATTATTAGGACCTGACAGGTTTAAAGATATCATAATGGCTGCACAAGATGCCATTAATATTATGAATACATCTTTACAAACAACAAGTACTACAAAAGTAAAGAAGAATTAATTTATTTAAAACAAACAACAGTATATACTTATTTTTGACTAATATAATCAAGTTCTTTTGAATCAATTTGAATTTCTTTTCTTGAAGGAAAAATTTTTTCATTAGGTCTATTAATAAATGAATCATCACTTTTTTCTTCTTCTACTTCACGTGGAATAATAGAAATACTTTCTCGACTTAATCCAGAATTAATAAGACTAGACAAATTTGGTTTATCAAAAGAAAATAAACTTGTCTCTTCATTTTTTTCAGATAGCTTTTTAGGATCTTCTATGATTGTATCTAATTTAAAATTATCTACGTCTTCAAAATATTTCTTTTTTTCTTCAAGATATTCTTTTAATTCATCTCTTTCTTTTTCTTCTTGCTTTCTTTGTTCCTCTTCTTTATTATTTCTTTTCTTTGCTTTTTTTTCTTCGGTTGATTTTCTACTTGAACTAGATGATCTTCTTCGTGGCATGAAATAGAATTGTAGAAACAAAGTTCTTTCTTCTCAGTTCTAATAATTGTTTCTCATCAAATAGAAACCTCAATTTAAAAAAAAAATATAACAAATAATAAATTATGTAATTAAGTAGTATTAAAAACATTATTTAAAATGCTTCTTCACATTTAGCAATTTACTGATACGAAACTTCTACGCACTAAAGGAATATTACTTGTAGGTAGTTCAACATCAGAAAAATTATCTGTTTTACCCATACATTGACGTGCTCGTTGTGAGACTAAAATATCAACAGGATTATTTGAAGTAACTTTGTTATAGTATTTCTTTAGTCTCTTCTTACTTACATAAGGAACAATCATTTTCACAGATGGACATGAAATTTTTAAATCTCTCATCTTTTCATTATTTAAGTCAATAATTTCTGTTAGTCGTTCACAATCAAAAACATATAATTTAGTTAATGTTGTAGGTAAACAAAGAGATACAACTGTAGAACAATCATTTACTTTTAATTCTTCTATTTTTAATGAACTAAGAGAAGGGAATGGTGTAACATTAAAACATGAAAATGATAATGATCTTAATGAAACAGGAAATGATAATTGTATAGGGTTGTATGAATGAATTCTTGATAAAGAAAGGTCTATTAATGAGTCATAATGTGAAAGGTTTAGTTCCTTAACATTTGTAAAAAGATCTTTATTTCCAAATATTGAAACTTTAGAAGGATAATATAAATTCCATGCACTTTCAACTTCATCAGTTTCAACAATATCTGGAGCAATAATAAATAATTTTTTTTGATCAATTAATAAAGGAATAGAATGATTAATAAGGAAAGGAGAGATATTATTAAAGACAGAACAAATTTTACAATAGGAATGTATTTCTTTTAATTCATTATAAATAGAGTCTTTTAATCCAATGACTCTCAATAATATTTCTATTCTAATTTTATTTAATTGTTTAATATAAGGAAGAAATTGTAATACTCCACTTGCAGCACATTCAATAATTAATTTAGTAAAATGAGGTAAGACATTTAGTATTGGTGAAATAAGTTCAAGTGATTGTTCATTAACATTAAACCCATAATTAATATGTAACCTTCTCAATGATTTAAATCGAGTAAAATCAAATCTAGTATCAACATTAGTGTATATAAATAATGTTAATTCAATTATTTTATCAGTTATATCATATTCTTTAATTTTTATTAAATCAAATGGTTGTAAAAGTTTTAATGATAAATTAAAACATTGTACATTTTTAATAAGAGTAAATGGAATATTTAAAAGTACTTCATAATCACAACTTAATGTTTGAATTCCATCAAATGTTTTTAATTCTCCAATTATTCCTTTTGTTTTACTACTTAATTGTGATAATTTACTTTCTCCTTCTACATTAACAATATTTGGATTTCTTAATAAACAATGAATAGTTTTTAAACATTTACTATTTATTTGTGCAAATTTTCTAGCATTCATATAATCAAGATATAACACTACATTTAATAAATACAGATGTTCTAATTGGACTTTCATTACTTTAAATCTCTAAATCTTTTTTTTGTTCTTTTAAGTCAAAGATTTTTTTTTTGATTTTTTCATGCTTCACCTTTTTTACTTATTTTAAAAAAAAATTTGTTATTATTATTCATTTTCATTTTATTTTTTACTATTTTTTAATTCTTTTTATTATTTCTTCTATCGTATCTTTAAAAATAGATCATTAAAAGGTGAAGTTTTTTATTTTCAAATTTTTAATGTTATTGTAATATATAACAAAAATAAATTATTTAATGAATTTATCCATAAAATGTTGATGATATTCATTACGTAAAGTATCATTAATATATTTGGCTTGTTTAGGAGGTTCTTTTGCTTGATTTTTAAATACAACATCATCATACCATTTTCTTTGAACTAACCCATCAGAAAAATATTGTTGAGAATCAGATGAGTTTGAAAACTCTTCTTCTTCTTCCATTTCTTCATACTCTTTTTTAAGAGCTTCTTCAGTATCTTCACTTTCAATTTCTTCTTTAATTTCTTCTTTAATTTCTTCTTCTTTAATTTCTTCTTTAATTTTTTGTTTATCATTACTTTCTTTATATTCAATTTTTTTAGGTTTTAATTCTTCTTGTTTTTTATTGGTATTTTCTAACATTTCTCTTGTTATTAGTTGGTGTACTTTTCTTTTCTTTAATTCTGGTTGTACAATAACATCTTGTGCAGAAACTTGTTTTGATGGTACATAATTGATTCCTCCTTGGTGTTTACTTCCTCTTGCTGAATACCATGTTGGTCTACCAACGTTTGTCATATTTAATAATTTGAAGTTTTTTAATTTTAATTCTCCTAATTGTTTTCAACAAATGTCTTCTTGACATACCTTCTTATTTATTTTTCTTTTTTCTTATCAACACTCTTCTAATCTTCTTTTTTCTTAATCTTTGTTTTATTCTTTACAACTTATTTACATTTGTTGTTTTGATTTACCTTTCTTCTTTTCTTTTGCTCTGAACTTCTTTTATTTTTTTTTTGTTTTGGGTTGTATAGTGTCGTGTTAGACTTTTAGTTCAATAGAATAATATATCTCATCATTTGTTTACCAGTTTGTCATAACCAGTTGCTGAAGAAAAAGTGAAGTATTATCGTTGTTCATTCCATAAATCTCCAGGATGGTAAATATACATTACTCATAATGAATGAATCGTCAAATAATTTGAAGTACATAGGTAGTGTTTTATAACTAAACACAGTGAAGTTAATTACCTTGTCATTTGTTGAACATAATAACAACTGAAGGGACATGAGTATTTCATAATGATATTAACAAACATTGCACAGAAATATATTATTGAATTAAGAAGTATTTCTTTTAGACTAATATAACTGAAGTTGATTAATGAGTAGAATAGACAGAATAAAATTTAATGAAAACAATAAAAAAAAGAATAAAATACAAAGAAGTAATGAAGAATGATAATACACTAAGTGAAAATGAATTTATGACATAAACTAAAAACATATAAGCAAACTCCAAGGAATAATTACAAAACAATACATAAAAAAATAATTAATGATTTAGAAAAACTACCATTAAAAACAATAAAAACAATAAGAAATGTCCTATCAACCATCAATTGTGAAACATTTTTTGACAAACAAAATTAGTAAAATCGTAAAAAACAAAAATAACAAAACCGAAAAAAGATTTTATATTCAAAAGATCAAGAAATTTAATGTCATAATAAAGAAATTCTATAATGCAATTCACATAAAAGGGGTTGGTTCATTTTTATGAGGAGAATTAAATATTTTGATATCAATAATTAACAGAAAGTTAAAAAAACGTCATGTTAGTTGTTTTTCAAATATTTAGAAGAAAAATAATAACTTATACTATAAAATTAGTAATGAAAAAATAAGAGAAAAAGGAAAAGAAAGAAAAAAGAAATAGAAAGGTTCAATAAATGAACCAAATAAAAGAAATATCATTTCACTCTATGAAAAGAAAGAAGTAAAAAGTGAAAGAAAATCAGAAGGTTCAAAAAATTGATGTTTCAAATAATCAGGAGAAGCCACTGGAATAAGAAGATTATTCTGAACCTATTAATATCGTTTGGAATGTAAATACTGGTAATTCATTGAGATGCAAATTCAAGACAAAACCACTTTACTTAAGATATTTGATGAACAAGAATCTATTTTAAAAGAATTGTTTAGTGTTACAAGTCATTCACTTTCAATACCTGATGGAACTTTGGGTACACATAGGTATTGGAGTAATGATGAACATACTAGATTTATGGTTTGCCTTTGTTTTCTCAATGCAACTGCTTGTAAAGGACTTCCTGTTTTAAAAATATCCAAATACGTAAAGACTAGAACATCAGTACAAGTACGAACTCACGCCCAGAAATATTTCTCAGATAAAAGGAAAATTCATCATACAGACCCTTTTATAATTAGTTCTATGAGAGCTGATATTGAGACATTGCGAAAAATCTTTGGGAGAGAAAAACCTGTTATGATATACCGATCTTTGTGAAATAAAAAAAAAGAATTGTTAATTAAAAACTATTATTTGATACTTTCATTTAAAATCATTCTTTTTTTTTAGTTAAAAATCAATGAGTGTGAGAAGTTCCAAATTACCAGAAACAACCTCAACCGTTTCAGAGAATCCTGATCTTATTCATCAAACTTCACAACCTCAAATTAAGGAGAATGAGCAAAATAAAATGTCAAATCGTCCATTATTAGAACGTTTTGAACCAGGAGTATTACAAATATTTTTTAAATTCACTGTGCTTATGTTTTTAGTACCACTTCTCTTGTTCTTTGCTTTAAGAAACCCT